ATTCCCCCTCCCCCTTCCCCTCTCGGTGCAAGACGACATCAGTGGCGTCGACAGCGGGGTAGGGCAGTGTCAGCGGCTGTTCCCGTGGCAGCGGACGGGGTTGATAATTTGAAACTAACATGATCAAATGGGTTAGGATTGTTAATAACTGTAGCCAATTAAAGGTGGAGAGAATGGGTAGAGATTAATAACGAATGCAGATAAGTAACTCCTTGATCTAACATTTGATAATTTCATACTAACATAATCAAATGGCTTAGGATTGTTCATGACATGGCTTCGTGCATGTGCTTATATTCGTCACAACTATATAGGTCATGAGGAGGTGTTACTCTACAGGTTTTATTGAAGGTAGAGAGGAGAGGAAGGGACGAATAAGGAATGCAGATAAGTAACTCCTTGATCACGATTGATTGTTTTATACTGACATGATAAATTGACTTAGCATAATCATGATGTATATTTGTTAAAGGTGGAGAATAGGGATAGAGATGACTAATGAGTACGGGTAAGTAACTCATTAATCAAATGGTTGATTGTTTCAGACTAACATAATCAAATGGCTTAGGATAAGAGATGGCTAGTAAATACAGACATGCAACTCATTTATCCAATGGTTGATAATTTCATACTAGCATAATCAAATTAGTTTTGATTCACTCATGATGTAAATCTAATTAAATGTGGAGAGAAGGGCTAGAAATTACTAAAAATAAATGAGGATAAGCTACTCCTTTGTCCAGTGGTTGATAATTTTATACTATCAAATGACATAGTATGACTCATGATGTGTATCTATATAAAGGCATAGAAGAGGGGTAGGGATACCTAATGAATGAGGATAAGTTACTCCTTGATCCAATGGTTGATGTTTTTGCACTAAGATAATCAAATGGCTCAGGTTAAGAGACGACAAATAAATGCAGATACTCTTTGATCCAACAGTTTATTTTGTACTAACATGATCAAATGGGTAAAGATTACTCAACCTAAACATAGGTGGAGAGGAGGGGTAGAGATGACTAATGAATGCAAATAAGTAACTCCTTAATCCAACGTTGATATATTTGTATTAACATAATAAAATGGTGGCCCAGCATAAGAGAAGAGTTATCATTACAGATAAGTAACTCCTTGATATAATAGCTAATTTTATACTAAACATGATCAAATGGATAAGGATTACTCGTGATGTGTAGCTAAATATAGGTGGAGAGGAGGGGTACAGATCACAAATGAACGCGGATAAGTAAATGATTCATCCAACGTTTGATAAGTACCCCCCCTCCCCAAGGTAGCGACAGCAACACTATGGAAAACGCTTTATATCGCACGTCCGACGAAACAGAAATATCGGACGCCTCATCTACCACACTAAAAATGCTGCAAATCAGCGGCCTGATGGATCGGACGAACCCTATCACTGTAACATGTATGCCTAGCTATTTCTTTTCATTCTTTCCTCCTCTCTTTAAATATTTTTTCTTCTAAATTACTTATCCAATCTACGAACCAATCACACTATTGTATTCGTTGCAATTAAATATTTACAACAAGATATCATATAATTATATTATGTCAAAAGAAAAACATGTGTTTCAAACCGTTAAAACTAAATGTTTCATGCGTGATAGTGATATGTTTCAATGTGCGTCTTCCGTGTGTTTCATAAAGAGCAATGCTACACGTACTAAATTTTTCTGACTAAACTTTTACTAACAATCATTTCAACCGTTTGATTTAAGTAGATAGAAGTTATAAAAAAATCTAGATGCACTCATAGCATGACACATCAGTATTAGTAAGAATTTAGTAAGAAAAAGTTAGTACGTATAGCCTTTTCCTTTCATAAATTTTTTGAAACTAACTGCTACTACTTTCTCTCCATCTCATCCATGCACACATGCATGTATTTTAGCAAACTTCAAAATAATTTTTCTCTTAAATTATTTATCCAATCTATGATCCGATCGCACCATTGTATTCGTTTTAATTAAATCTTTACAACAAGATATTGCATGATTATATTTTGTTGAAAGAAAAACACATGTATCCGTTAATACTTGCTGTTTCATATGTGACAGCGACCTGTTTCAACGTGCATCTTCACCATGTTTCATAAAATATTTAAATGTTTCAGTTGCTGATTTTTTTGTTTCACCATATATAACTTAATGTTTGACTTGTTGGCCAACTGCAATATTTGACCATCCGTTTTTTTTTCATCGGACGTCCGATGGGTAGCTTTCTCCCAACACTACGAGTCAACTACCCATCCCAGTGCCATCCATCCATACATCATCGTCTCCTCCGACCACAGATCACACACACCCAAAAAAAACAAATACTCCCTCTGTTTCACAATGGAAGACTTTCTAGCATTACCCACATTCATATAGATGTGTCTCGATTCACTAACATCTATATGAATATGGACAATACTAGAAAGTCTTACATTGTGAAACGAAGTAGTAGCCACGAGCTCTTTTTTCTCGCGGCCATTCTTGGCTGCCTCGGTTGCTACCTCCTGCATGTGCCGCGCAATGGAAATGAGGCCTCGTGATCTCGCCGCCGTCCTGGCTATGTCCTGCCTATTGCTCCTCCCACTACTCGTCTCCTCGGTGCCCGTGTCGGGTAAAGCTTCGTCGTCATAGATCTCCTGGAATTCTTGATATGTGTTTTGACTAGTTGATAATTATAATTTGCGTGTCGATGCGTTCTTGCAGGAATCGTGCACTTGAGCAGCCAACAACAACACCCGTCATCTCGAAACATCTATGCAGATGTAGTTAATCTTTCTCATGTCCTTCAATTTCTGAATTCCCGTAAGATTTAAATTAATTTGTTGGCATGTTACTACAAAATCTCGTAGACAGTTCATAGCCACCTTTACAAACCAATTCTAAAATGAATATGTACTTTCTGAAGGCTAAATTCTGAAACAATTAGTAATGTTGGTGATAGTGATTCTGAACATGGCTTTGTGTATGTCCATGCAGGGATATGGTGGCAGCGGCGACGGACGTGGAGGTGAATGACTATCCAGCGCTAAGAGCCAATCCTCGCCATAACCCTAAACGTCCACTGGGGAGAGAAATGTCCGTCCAGGACATGGTGGCGGCAACGACGAATGCGGAGGTGAATGACTACCCGACGCCAGGAGCCAACCACCGCCATAACCCTAAACGTCCACCAAGAAGAGAATGAAATCAATCAAGCTACTACTGGAACTAGCTAGCATGTAGTTCTGCATTATTTCTGCTAGATGTCAGTGACTCTCAGAATTAATAAAGTATATAATTACATAAGTCAAGTGCACTATTACGAAACAAGATTTTTTTTCGAGGTGGTCAAAACGCGATTTGCACATGGCCACACACCCTGCCTATGATTGAAGGCTTGAGAAGATCTACAGTTTTCGAAGGCAAGCATCCTAAGAGACCCACTTGCAAAAATCAATTTTTTATAGGTGGCACACTTAATTTACCCACATACAAAAAGAATTTCTAGTGTAAAAAATGAAAATCTAGATTTTAATATCCTCCAATTTGAAAATCAGAATGCAATTCCACCATCACAAATTTAAAAAAGAATTGACATATCAAATGCAATTCCGCCAAGAACTTCGTCGGTGGCATCCCAGTGGCAGAGTCATCCTTTGCGCAGTGGCAGAGTCATCCTTTGCAGTGTCTTTTTCAGGGAGAAGCCGATGCAGCACACCATCACTGGCGTTGACGGTGGAAGGCGAATGCCAGCCGCAATGAGGTCTGCATTATTTTGGTCAAAACAATATATGTCACGGGGAGGTGGAACTATAAAGGTCATGAGAAGATGCTACTATCAAGGTATTATTAAGGAAAAAGCCCAAATTAGCCCCCTAAACTATTGTGGCAGTTGAAATTACCCCCTCAATTCAAAAACTGCACCCTCAACTTTTTATATGGACGAATTACCCCTGACAAACTTCGGAACAGTTTTGGTCTTACGTGTCGCACACGTGGCAGTCCAGTCAGCATAAAAAAATTAAAAATATAGGGCCCACATGTGGTGACTAAGAGAAGAGGCAAAATTGACAAGTGGGCTCCTCTATTTTTTTATTCTTTTATGCTAACTGGACTGCCACATTTGTGCCACGTAGGACCAAAACCACTCTGGAGTCGATCAGGGGGTAATTCGTCCGATATGAAAAGTTGAGGGTGAAGAATGTCTGGTTTTTGAATTGAGGGGGTAATTCGTACCGCCACAATAGTTCGTGGGGGGCTAATTCGGACTTTTTCCTATTATTAAAGGTAGAGAGGAGAGGAAGAAACAACTAAGAAATACAGACAAGTAACTCCTTGATCTAACAGATGATTATTTTATACTAACATGATCAAATGACTTAGGTTACTCATGATGTGTATATGTTAAAGGTAGAGAACAGTAGAAGAGATGACTAATGAGCACATATAAGTAACTCCTTAATCAAATGGTTGACTGTTTTATACTAACATATTCAAATGGCTTAGATAAGAGACGACCGGTAAATATAGATATGCAACTCCTCTATCCAACGGTTCATAATATCATACTGACATAATCAAATATGTTTCGATTTACTTGTGATGTGTATCTAATTGAAGGTGGAGAGAAGGGGTAGAAATTACTAAAAATTAATGTGGATAAGTAACTGCCTTATCCAATGATTGATGATTTTATACTAACATGATAAAATGGCATAGTATGATTCATGATGTGTATTTGGATAATGGTGTCGAGGAGGGGTAAGGATGACTAATGAATGGGGATAAGTATCTCCTTGATCCATCGGTTGATATATTTGTATTAACATAATGAAATGGTTCGGCATAAGAGGCAACTTATAATTACGGATAAGTAACTCCTTGATCTAACAACTAGTTTTATGCTAACATGATCAATTGGATAAGGATTACTCATGATGTGTAGCTAAATATAGGTGGAGAGGAGGGGCTAAGGAGATCACAGATGAATGTTGATAAGTAAATGCTTCATCCAACGTTTGATAAGTACCCCAAGGCAGCGGCAGCAACACTGCGAGTCCACTACTCATCCCAGTGCCATCAATCCATCCATCATTGTCTCCTCCTAACACAGATCACACTACACAAAGAACAACAAGTAGCCACGAGCTCTTCTTTCTTGCAGCCGTTCTTGGCTGCCTCGGTTGCTACCCCTGATGCGCCGCGTAATGGAAATGAGGTCTCGTGATCTCGTCGCCGTCTTGGCTATGTCCAGCCTACTCCTTCTCCCACTACTCGTCTCCTCGGTGCCCATGTCGGGTAAGCTTCGTCGTCATTGATCTCCTGGAGTTCTTGATATGTGTTTTTACTATATGCTAATTATAATTTGTGCCTTGATTCATTCTTGCAGGAAGCCTGCACTTGAGCAGCCAACAGCAACACCTGTCGTCTCCAAACATCTCTGCAGATGTAGTTAATCTTTCTCAAGTCCTCCAATCTCTATATTCCCCTAATATTTAAATTTGCCGGCCTGTTAATAAAATATCATAGACAGTTCATAGCTACCTTCACAAACCAATTCTAAAATGAATATGTACGTTCTGGAGGCTAAATACTGAAACAAATAGTAATGTTGATAGTGATTCTGAACATGGCTTTGTGTATGTCCGTGCAGGACATGGTGGCGGCGACGACGACGGACGTGGAGGTGAATGACTACCCAGCGCCAGGAGCCAATCCCCGCCATAACCCTAAACGTCCACCAGGAAGAGAAATGTCCGTCCAGGGCATGGTGGCGGCGGCAACGAATAATGTGGAGGTGAATGACTACCCGGCGCCGGGAGCCAACCCCCGCCATAACCCTAAAAGTCCACCAGGGAGAGAAATGTCCGTCCAGGGCATGGTGGCAGCGGCGACGGACGTGGAGGTGAATGACTACCCAGCGCCAGGAGCCAATCCCCGCCATAACCCTAAACGTCCACCAGGGAGAGAAATGTCCGTCCAGGGCATGGTGGCGGCGACGACCGATGTGGAGGTGAATGACTACCTGGCGCCAGGAGCCAACCCCCGCCATAACCCTAAACGTCCACCTGGGAGAGAATGAAATCAATCAAGCTGCTGCTGGAACTAGCTAGCTTGTAGTTTCGCATTATCTCTGCTAGTTGTCAGCAACTCTCATAATTAATAAAGTATCTAATTACATAAGTTGAGTGCACTACTACAAATCAAGATTTTTCGAGGTGGCCAAAATGCAATTTTGCACATTGCCAGACGCCCCGTCTGCGATTGAAGGCTTGTGAAAATCGACGGTTTTCAAAGGTGGGCACCCTAAGAGATCCGCTTGTGAAAATTGATTTTTCACAGGCGACATGCTTAATTCACCCACATGCAAAAATAATTTCTAGTGTAAAAAAAAAGAAAATCCAGATTTGAATATCCTCTAATAAGAAAATTCACAGTTCAATTCCACCATCACAAATTTAAAAAACATTTGGCATGTCAAATGCAATTCCAAAAAGGGCTTTGTCGTCGTATCCCAGCGTCGGAGTCATCCTCTGCAGCGTCTTCTTCAGGGAGAAGCCGACACAGCACACCATCATTGGCATTGGCGAGGCAGGGCGAATGCCACCTGACGGAGCGTGGGGCTCCTCACCGGGAGACCGCGCAGGTCCCCCTTTGCCGGTTCGGCCGGGGGCGCTAAGTGAGGTTCTTCGCCCTCGATCTGAGGAACGTCAGCGAGAGAGGAAGTGCACAAGACACGAGCGACGTAGACAGGTTCGGGCCGCTGAGAAGCGTAACACCCAACTCCTGTGTTCTGGTGGATCTGTGTGTGAAGGAATACAAAGAGCCAGAGAGCGAGAGAGAGTTCAGGCTCTAGAACCCCTTCGCTAGAGTCCCAACCCCTCTTTCTCTTTTTTCTCTTTTTTTCCCCTCCTAGGCCTGGGCCTCCTTTTGATCTGGTCAGGGGTCACCACATGGGCCTCTAGCTGCCTAAGAAAGGAAACATGCTTTTTACAATGAGGGCTAGTCTACAGCCGGAAGTGACCTCTGACAAGCAGAGCACACGCCTCCTGCCCCGCTTGCCAGCTTTCCCGGTGGACGCCCATTTCAACCTTCATTCAATGGCCAGCGACTTCCTTGCCATGCTTGCACTGAAGCCTGGAATGGATCTGACCGGGACTGACATACCAACTCCAGGAGTTAGCACGCCGGCTCCGGCTAGGGACGAGAGCCAGGAAGCTCTCATCATTCCGACGGGACGGGGCGAGGCGTGTGACAGGCCGCCTGTTGCCACCTAACCCGCGATCTGACTGGTCTGTGACCGGTCACACACCGCGACCGGTCACGGACCGGATAAGCGTGCGCTGCGCCGCATTAAATGCGGCGTGGCGCGTTCGTCCATCCTGCTATAAATGCGGTTAGGTGAGCCCCGCTGTGCTCACCTAACCCACACACGTGGCGCCAAAACCACAGGGGGTCGGGGCGCCCCAGCCCTCGGGGCCGAAACGGGGGCGCCCCAGCCCTCGGGGCCGAAACGGGAGCGGCCCGACCCCTCGGGGAGACAGAGGGAGGGGTGGCCACGTCACCCTCGGGCCCGACCCCCCCCCCCCCCGACGGGGTCAGGCCACGTGGGTGACCGCGGCTACCCAAGCCTCTAGTCACGATACCCCCGGCCCCATGTCACCGACAGTAGCCCCCGGCGTTACGCCATGGTGATCGCCCCCCTCGAGGGAAGCGCTCGGGCGTGACGCCACTCCTTAGGCCCGGTGACAGGTGGGGCCGGTCCCTACAGGTGGGCAGAAACCCAGCGGTCGCAAATCGCGCGCATCGGCAAGGGAAAACCGACCGACAATAATGAGCGGCCTCTTTAAGACCGCTACATTACTCGAGCAGCGCGCGAATCGGAACGAGCCGGCTCGTTTCGCCTGGAGACATGATGATGGCGCTTTTCACGGTTGGCGAGCGTAGTTAATGCGCGCACGATCTGCCCCATCTCAACCGCCACGGCCGCACATCTGCCGCGTGCGCCGCAAACGGGCGAGTGGGGTTAGTGGAGGCGTGGGCGCGAGAAACGAGGGGGCGAGGTAGTGGGCGCGGGAAGCGAGGAGCCGGGCATAGCGTTGGCAAGGGTGTAAAGACGCCGAGGAAGGGATTCGTTTCCTTCCTCTCGCTACTCTTCCCCTTGCCTTCGCCACTTGCGCTCTAACTCTTCGTTTCCTGTGCCCTACCCTTGCCGCACTCGCTCGCTCTCAAGCTCCTCCTCCGCCGGCGTCATGGCACGGGGCTCCGCACCGCTCGACGGTAGCGTGCTGCCGCCTTCCCGCATCGTAAGCGAGAGGCAGGCCGGGCTGCCGCGCCGATTCATGCCGGAATCTGCCACCGGCCGGGAGGTGGTCGCGCTGGGCGAGGGACGCCCGGCGCCACACTACCCGGGGCGGTCCGTCTTCTTCCTCTCTTTCGCAATGGCGGGGCTGGTCCCGCCATTCTCTATTTTTTTCATGGATATTCTGGAGTTTTATGATCTGCAGATGGCGCACCTCACCCCCAACGCGATAATGACGTTGGCCATCTTCGCGCACCTGTGCGAGATGTTTATCGGGGTGCGCCCATCTCTCCGACTGTTCCGGTGGTTCTTCACCGTACAGCCGGTGTCGCCGCCGACGGTAGTCGGTGGCTGCTACTTCCAGCCGCGGGGGCAGGTGCTGAACCGCTACATTCCCTGCGTCCTCCGCAAAAAGTGGGACGACTGGAAGAGCGATTGGTTCTACACCCCCCTCGCCGACGAAGCGCGCCTCCGACTTCCGAGCCAGCCCCCGGCGCAGGCCTCCAGCTGGCGGGCGGCGGTAGATCTGGGAGACGGCTACGACGCCGTTCTTGACCGCCTGGTGGGTCTGCGATCCCAGGGGCTCACGGGGGCCATGGTGTTCGGCGACTACCTTCGTCGCCGGATCGCGCCGCTCCAGCGGCGCGCCCGGGGCGCCTGGGAGTACACCGGGCCCGAGGACTACATGAGGACCCACCAGGGGCGCAAATGGGACTGGGACCCTGAGGACTTCAGGATGGTGATCCAACGGGTGCTGAATCTCAGCTCCGTGGAGGCATCCCTCATCCCCCAAGGGGTCCTCCCCCTCTGCTGCGATCCAGAGCGCGCCAAGATCCTGGCCATAATGCAGGTGGTCGGGGCGTCGGGGGAGCGGGCCCCCCGAGGCCACGATGGCGCGGGCGGGAGCCGCAGGGGGGAACAATCTACCCCGGGAGGGGGTCGTGCTTCTGGGCCCCTTGACGGGGGCCCGGGGGGCAGCCGCCCTGCCGACGCCCGGGGGAAGAGGAAGCAGGAGGGTACCCCTCCCCCATCTCCTCCCCGAGGGGGCGGGGCGGTGCGTGCCAGCAGCAGGCGCCCGGAGGGTGCCCTGCCGACGCCACAGCCCGAGGGGGAGCGAAAGAAGAAACGGCTCCGCAAGATGGGGGGGACCGAGCCATGCCGGGGGAACCTCATCTCGCCCCCGAGGTGGTCGTTTAGCCGACCTCCCCGCAGGTTCGTCCCCGCACCCACCGCGGCCGTATTCATTCTCCCATCTCCCAAGGCGAGTTTTCACTCACCCGTTTCTTTTTGTCTTCTGGTTTTTCTTCTGCCTCAGCGAGATCCCGTCGCGCCCCCCCCCCCTCCCCCCCCGCCATTCCAAGTCCAGCCGGTCTGAGGCCGAGGAGACGGCGACCGCGGAGGCCCGGAGGCGGGAAGCTGACCAGCGAGAAGCCGCGGACCGCCTCCGGGAAGCCGAGGAGGCTGCCCAAGAGGCCGTCCGGGTTCGCCAGGCTGAGGAGGCCGCTCGGGAGGAGGCCAGACTCCGCCGGGCCGGGGAGTCCGTCCGGGAGGCAGAGGCGGCCCGCGCGCGCCAGGCGACCTGCCAAGCCCCCGACCCGACTCCGCCCGAGGCGACGACGACTTCCGAGGCTACCCACGACGAGGCCGCGGGCGCGCCGCTCGGGCCCGACCCCTCGGGCGACGCTTGGGACAAGCCAGCTTCGGGGGACGCCCTCGAGTCCAGCTCGTCGATCGGCGGGCCGAGCCGCGCGGCACCCACACCGAGGCGGCTCTCCCCTCTGCCTTCCGCTGCCCCACTGAGCGCGGAGCCCCTCCTGCAGGCCTTGGCCGCCGCGAACAGCACGGTGCTGGACGGGTTAAGTGCCCAGATGGAGGCCCTGCAGGCGGAGCGGGCGGAGCTCGACGCGGCGTGGGCGCGTGTCGAGGAGGGGCGGCGCTCGGTGGAGGCCATGGTGGAGGCGGGCCGCAAGGCACACCGCCGGCACGCCTCACAGCTCGAGGCCCGTCGTAGGGACCTGGCGGAGATCGCCAGGGAGGTGGAGGAGGAGCGGGAGACTGCCCTCATCGCCACCGCCGTGCTTGACGAGGCGCGGGACGACCTCCGCCTCCAATACGGGAGCCGGGCGGCGGAGCTAGAGGAGAAGCTCGACGCCGCCCGGGGAGTCCTTGACGCCGCCGCTGCCCGGGAACGGCGGGCGGCGGAGAACGAGGCGGCGTCCCGGCAGCGCGAAGAGGCCCTTGAGGCTCGCGCCACGGCACTGGAGGAGCGCGCCCACGCCCTGGACGTGAAGGAGAGAGACCTGGCGGACCGCGAGGCCGCCGTTGCCACCCGGGAGGCAACACTGGCGGCGCACGAGGCCGCCTGCGCCGAAGAGGAGTCCGGACTCTGCCTCCGCGAGGACGCGCTCACCGAGCGGGGGCAAGCTCTCGAGGAGGCCGAGGCCGCGGCGCAGCGGCTGGCGGACAGCCTGTTCCTCCGCGAGGCAGCGCGGGAGGAGCAGGCGCGCCGCAATCTGGAAGGCGCCCGCGCCGAGAGGGCCGCACTGGATCAGCGGGCCGCTGAGCTCGAGGCGCGGGCAAAGGAGCTGGACGCGAGAGCGCACAGCGGCGGGGCGGCCGCGGGCCACGGCGACCTAGCCGCATGCCTCGCAGCCGCTGAACACACCATCGCCGAGCTGCAGGGCGCGCTGGACTCGTCCGCCGGGGAGGTCGAGGCCCTCCGCATGGCGAGCGAGGTAGGGCCCGGCATGCTTCGGGACGCCGTCTCCCATCTAGACCGCGCCGGGCGGCAGGCGGACCTCTGGGCGGGCGGTACGCGAAGTACGCCGCCAACCAGGGGGGCCTCGCCCAGCGCCTCTCAGAGATGGCCGGGGCCCTCGAG